ACCCACATGGCTTTGAGCATGCGTAACATTTTAACAATGATTAATACATAAACTTAGATGAAAATTTTGTAAGTGGCTTGGAATGGTGTGACGATGATGGTTTTAGTCTCGACTATTGTCTCATATCACTGCAACATTGTTCGAAGTCTTTTTTTTTTTTTTACAACATTCTAACTAAATATCTACTCCAAAAACAAATAGTTCAAAGTAATATTACAATTTTTAAAACGAATAAGTGTATTTAAGAAACAAATGTCAAAGTTTAGGATATTTTTTTAGAATATATACCTTGAAATTATAAAATATGTTAACTATGACACATTAAAATATGTTATACTATGACACATTATTAATCAAGATCCAATCAGAAGATGTAGTTTTAAAAATGATTCTATGGATTCATCACTACTTTAAAAAATAAATTATATTTTTACCAAAAAAAAAGAAAGAGACTAAGTAAAAAAACAATTAGATAGAGGAATCCACCTGTAGATACCCATTGCTTCAACCCATTGCTTCAACCAATGAGTATATAAATAACCAAAGCGATTTTGAAGATAGGTTGGTTAAGAAAAACTTAAAAGGATTGAAAGTTATTATATACCGAAGTAAGGTAATCCATTTTTGTTTTTTTTTTTGTTTTCTGTGTTTCAATCATAAGAATTTCAAATTTAAGCATAATTTGTTTTGAGTCATTTATATTAGGTGGCCTCCGAATTATTTTCCTAGGAAACATGTGGGTTAGAAAAAAGTATTCCAAAAGAACTCGTGTTAGATTGTGGGGATAGTTTTCACTCTTATATGCGAGGGGAAGTAACGTGATCATGTCGTAGGAGAATATCGTGACCAACCTGTGCCGATTTTAGATTCTGAATCATGAATATGATTAATTACAATTTTATTTGCAATTGAGGGAGACGGAAGGTAAGAACAATAGCGGTACACGATTTCTCTTTTTCGTTGTTTGCCTAATATTATGTTTTAATTAAACGTTTTAGTTTTATGACTTTAATTTTACTTTGTGAGTAAATAAGCTCGACTTGCTCAAAGTGGGAGAAACCAAAAGTAAAATCTCAAGAGTTTGGGCTCAAAGTAGATAATATCGTAAAATTGTGAAGGTTCATGATTCTTAAAAAAATTTCAATGCATGTGATTTCGTTTTTAACAAGTCGAGTTTATTTACTCACAAGATGAAATTGAAGTCTTAGAAATAAAACGTTAAACATAATACTATGCAAACAACGAAGAAAAGAAATTGTGTACAACTCTACGATGGAGAACAATAAATACATTTATGGTACTCTTTGCCCAACAACTTGGACCACATAAAAAGGGCATTGGCCAATTTTGTCTCCTCTTTTTGATGTTCATAATAAACGTGTCAATCTAAAAAAAGAGTACATAATCATTGATATATGACTTATTTTTAGTTAATATCATTATGGAAAGCATTGTTCTTAGTCTCCCCCAATTGCAAATAAAACCAAACATATTGTAATTATTCATATTCATGATTCAGAATCTAAATCGGTACATGATGGTCACGATATTCTCCTACAACATGGTCACGTTACTTACTCCCTCGCATATAAAAGTGAAAACTATCCCAAAATCTAACACGAGTTTTTTCAGGATGCTTTGTTCTTACCCACATATTTCTTAGGAAATAGTCGGGGGAGGGTAACCCAATATAAATGACTCAAAATAAAGCATGCTTTAACTTTGAAATTCTTATCATTTAAACAAATAATAACTTTCAATTTTTTTAAGTTTTTCTCAACCAACCTATCTTCAAGATAGCTTTCCTTAGGGTGTGGCTCACCTTTATTTATATACTCATTTGTTCAAGCAATATAGGGACGCATTTCCAAAGAGAAGTTTATGGAGAGCAACACAAAGGCTACAATTGGTACATGCAAACGTCTATGGACCCATCAGACCTCTTTCCAACAGTAGGAAGAAATATTTCATAAGGTTTATGGTTGATTACAGCCGTAAGGTGTTGATATATTTTCTTGCTGAAAAATTTGAAGTCTTTACTATCTTCAATAATTATAAAAATCTTTTTCACGTTTATTTCTTTTTGAAAAGCATTGTTGTTAGAAAATAAAACCAAAACATAACTCTTTCAAGCAATGGTTAGTAGTACCCTTTTGCAGTGGGTCACACTGCAACACAGCTACCCAGCTCATTAAAATTTCATGAAATGGTACTCTTCAAAACACTATTATTCAACAAGAAGTTAAAAACAAAGTAAGAAACATAAAAAAGTAACATTAGTCTCTTTCTTCTTTGTCTGATCGAGAGTAGGTATATGTGAGTAGTTGTCGGTGGCGGGATGACTGTGTTAGACGAACACGACTCTCCACAATGGTATGATATTGTCTACTTTGAGCATAAGCTCTCATGGCTTTGCTTTAAGCTTCCCCAAAAGGCCTCAAACCAATAGAGTTAGTATTCCTCACTTATAAATCCATGATCGTTCCCTAAATTAACCGATGTGGGACTTCCATCATCCAACAGACTGTGGCGCCGTAATAACTAAATTGTTTCAGATTTGGTGACCATTGTCATGAAAACCTTGAATCCAGATCTCGAAAATACGATCCATTGCCCTTCACCTTTGGCATGGTTATGTTTAATAGCGACAAAGCAATGCTCATAAATACATAGAACTAGTAGTAGCCGACTTTCTTGGTCTCGAAAACAAGGAAAATAGCGATGCACGGCTGCCAGAGAGGAAGGAGACATTGATTATTACTAGGGCAACTTCGAAAATCCTACACTCGTTAAAGAAATCTGGTGCAAATAATATTTGTTCTAAAAAATGTGAATGAATAAAATAGAATTGTGCTGTAGCGACCTCCTTTTTCTTTTAAAATAAGATCACTACTACATGCATGTCATAACTTTTGTACTTTTGTTCGTAGAAAAAAATCATTTTAATAATTCACTTTAAAGATTGTCATAGACTTAAATGTTCATAAATTCATTTGAAATTTAGTAACATAATAACGTAGATGAAAAACCAGAATATTTAGTGTTCTTCGTGATGTTATGTAGACCCTATCCCTCCATTGTATCCATCAACCGGTTAGCTAGTGCTAGCCCGATGAGTCATGCCTAGGGGTATGTGAGCCTGCTTAGTGAGCTCATGTGCGCATATGTAGATTGTGTGTAGAGAAATACTACACATCCAACCTTGCTTGAACTGAAAGCAGCCCAAGGCATGCCATGATGTTTTAAAATGATTTGTTCAACCATATAGGATTTGTTTAAATTTTCCAAGCTCAATAATGGAGTTACTTACTAAGTATTTATTACAACAGTATTCAAGCGTGCTACTCTTATTTTTCAAGTAAAAGTAAGACACTCGTGTATGAATGACAGCGTCGCGATAGAAGCCATAGAACCAATGTTTGAATATTCTTACTCATATCTTTTAAGTAGCCTTTAAGTTAGTTCAGCTTTTTTATTTAACTCTAGTGTATCTTTTATGAAATAATTTAAACCAAAGGTTTTCCACAAAAATTAATATTCCAAAATCATGACATGTAGCGTTTACCTGATAATAAGGTTTATGCGGTGGAGAGTAGGGAGGAGGAGAATTATTGATTGGAGATAACAACCATACACGTTTTTCTCCTAATTATTTCAAAATGAGAACATTAATTTATAAAAGGAATTGGGAGACTTCTTTCACTTTTATGTTATAAAGCAATTGAGAGACATTTGTTTGCTCACAATATGACAATGGGTCTTCTCCATCTTCCTCTTCTTTCCTCCATCTCTACGCTTACCTCCCCACGAAGTCTTTCTTCTCATCCTAATAAGCTTACCTCCCCACCAAATCTTTCTTCTTATCCTAACGTTTATGTTCCTTTCCAAATGATTAAGCGATCGACTATCGATACAAAAGTTTATAATACTTCTGTTGTTCGGCGGTCTGCAAATTACCAACCTCCTATCTGGAAGCATGAATTTGTTGAATCGCGGAGTGAATTCACTATAATTTAGTTTGAATATTATGAATATGTTATCTCCAATTATTTTTCACCTATCTACCCACAACAAAGTCATTGTTTAATTTTAGGGGGAAAAGAGTTTAAATAGGAGAGATATGCTAAAAAGAAGAGTGAATCTGATATTGAACAAACAATTATTATTGGATGGAGATAGTTTGAGACAATTGGAGCTAGTCGACCAACTACAAAGGCTCGGACTGTCATACCACTTCCAAATAGAAATAAATCAAGTGTTAGAGAATATGAATGAAGAGTTCCGGAGTGGAAAGGATTTAGAGTGGAACAACAACTTATATGCCACGGCTCTTCATTTTAGGATTTTAAGGCAACACGGCTATTATATCTCGGAAGGTAACCCATTTCTTTTTCAAATTCCATTTTGTTGTTTTTTTTTCTTTTTTATATTTCGTTCTCTCAAATAATTTTTATTTTAACAATTTGGATTGCATTTCTTTTTCTCTTAATACAAAATTTCAAAACCCTAATCGACCATGTCACTACGAGCGAGAGAGCGAAGGAAAGTGCGAAGGGAATGAAGGAGAAGACGGAGGATATGGCGAAGGAGGGGACGAAGAAGGCGACCATTTTCTCTCAAATAATTTTTATTTTAACAATTTGCGCATGTTGGAATTGCATGTTTTATTTATCGTTGCCTTCATAGCTTTCTTCGTATAACTAAATGTCAATACCATTGAGAATGCAATGTAAATACATTCATATATAAACATTAAAACTGTATAATGTATGCATATGTAATTGGTTGAACTTCGATTTAATATATTATAGGTAAATTTATACAAAGCTTCAGCAATCAATTCTCTTTTGGGTTCTATATTAGAGTTGGATTTTTACGTTCAATACAATAGTAAGATTTCCGATTTTTTTGAAAGAACAGGCCTACATCTAGGATGTGAGAACGAGAGAGTTTATATGCTAATGTATTTGTAAAGCATCAATTTTTTTTATGGGGGTTTTTATGGGGCTTGAAGGAGCTGCTTTGGCAGCTTCTATTTAATCGTAGATGGTTTTCTTGGTTGTGGTCGTTCACATGCTTAAGTCTCATAAATGTAAGCTCACATGGAAAGGATTCTCTTTGAAGCTTTTCTGCAATGTATTATTCTGATTCACTTCGACGTCCAACTTTATTTGGACTCAAATCTTCCTATATTGTGATAACTTTATTTGAAATTTTAAATGCATCATCACCTACTTTAGTTGATGTAGGTGGACAAGAGCTTGGAGGAATTCATTACGTCACATTATTTGTCGAAGTAAGAATCTTGCTTATCGATGTAACCTATAACCTGTATAGCAACTGTAAGAGTAAGTGCACTATCTCTCATTGAAGTAAGAGTAAGTGCACTATCTCTCATTGAAGTGTTGTGATATTGTGGCTTAGTTGCATGGTTGAACTTGTTTTCATTAGTTGTCTTGTTGTGGTATTATTTCTATTTTTTCTATTTTTCATAAAGTGGACCGTCATTCAAACATTTAGCCAAGACACAAGACCTCTAAAACCATATGTTTTCTTATTATTACTCTTTAAAATTCTCATATTCCAACCCCATCCCTAGATGAAGCTGGCTGGAAGAATTTATTATGGGTTGGAAAAACCGTTTTATTCCTTTTCGAACCTTAGTATTTTAGTATTTTTTTTGTGTTGTCATATATGTTTAGAATACATTGCATATCATAGGTGACAAACTTCACATCAGTTTGTTTACCGCCCTATGCTGCTTAAAATTCTCTCAAAGTTATCAAATAGAGTAAAGTTAGTCTATTGGAACTTTTTTTTTTTTTTAAATAGACCTAGAAAAACTCCTCAATACTAGAAGGTTAGCACGAGAAAGGAGCGATAAGCCTATGACCTACACATATAGATGTACACATGCTACCTTCTTTTTATTCTGTTTATTAAACCAAGCAAATGCAATATAAAATTAAAGATGGTTGGTTATTGGTTATTTATAGGAAATGGAAGGTGATAGAAGACTTACAATACAAAGGCATGAAGCAGTCCCAGACAATCGAGCATCGATCCAAATAACTGAATACTCATTTTGTATTGTTTGAAGAACTTTTTTATTATACAAAATTACTTAATACTCATTTTGTAATGTAAATAGATGATGAAGTTTCAATTGTGAATGGAAATTACAGTATTTCACTTGCAATAAATTGTTCATGTGTGGATTTAGTTAAAAATGAATACATGAATAGATTTTTTTATTTATCAAAATATAATTAATGAAATGATAATTTAATAATAAATGACCAAATGACATTGTTAGTATAAGATTAAAGCTATGAATACTATATTATAGCGTTAAAAAAATGTTATAATAAGTTAAAGATAACATAACATTTTAGCTATATTCAACTGCTATAGCTTTAATAAAATGCTATGAAATATTTTTATAACAATGTATATAAGCTATAGTTTTATACTATATTATAGCATATATTATAGCTATAAAAAAACGCTATAAAAAGTTTTAGACTTTTAATAACATGGGCTGTCACGACGTACGAAAAACGCTATAAAAAGTCTATGATAGCGTTTTTCGTATGTTATCGAATTCATTATTTGTTGTAGTGCCAAATACTTTAAATCTAGTGGTGATGAAATAATTTGTACTATGGTAAGGCATGCTCTTGAACTCCCATTTCATTGGAGAATGCCAAGATTGGAGGTTAGATGGTTCATCGATTTGTATCGAAGAAAACCTGAACCGAATCTTGAGTTGTTAGATTTGGCCATGTTAGACTTCAATATTGTCCAATCCACAAATCAAGATGACCTGAAATATGTCTCTAGGTAATAAGTTTAATTGTCAATTATGATTTTTTTTAAATTGTGAAAAAAAAAAATTTAAAAGAAAATATAATCTAGGAAGTCTTTTTATATTTGATATTATTTTTCACCTAATTCTTGTTTAAAAATTGAACCTAATGTATTGTAATGGTTTATTTGGTATATACGAAGGTGGTGGAAGAGCGTTGAGCTCGGACAAAAACTCGATTTTGCAAGAGATAGATTGATGAAAAATTTCTTTTGGTCGGTGGGAATGGGATGCAAACCTCATCTCGGATATCTTAGAAGAATGTCTACTAAAATTACTTCATTAATAACAATATATAATTGACGATGTTTATGACGTGTATGGAACTTTGAATGAACTTGAACTCTTCACCGATGCTGTCGAGAGGTAACTTCTACCCACTAAATCGAACCAAATTTAACAAAAAAAAAAAAAAAGTTTTACCAAGACAAATAATTGGTGTTCAAAATTGTCGTAATTAATAAATGAAGGTTTTATTCAACAAATGATTATATGTTGATATTCTTAGATGGGATATTGGCGCAATTGATGCATTGCCTATTGCCTAACTACATGAAGATATGTTTTATTGCTCTCCACAACACAATCAACGATGTGGCTTTCGATGTTGTTAAGAATCATGGAGTCAATGTCATTCAATATCTAAGAAAAATGGTAAATATTTTTTCATTAGATTAAATTTTATGCTAAATGAAAAATTCTGTGTTTTTTTTTTTTTTTTTTTTTTTTTTTTTGCATTAAGATAATTTTATGATACCGTAACTCCTTCGACATTAAAAATGTTGTAGTGGATAGATTTATGCAAAACGTTCTTGATAGAGGCAAGATGGCACTACACCAATTATAAGCCAACATTCCAAGAGTATTTAGACAATGCATGGATTTCAGTATCGAGATCTCTTCTTCTCGTTCATGCTTACATCTTTGCCACAAACTCAATAATGAAAGAGGATTTGGAATACTTGGAAGACTATCCTGATATTATTTGACATTCATCCATGATCTTTCGTCTCACCAATGACTTAGCTTCATCATAGGTATTTCTTTTAAAATAAAATTCTTCATGCTATTAATTTCCTAATTTTCTAGCATGTGGACGAATAACACTAAGAATGAAAATTTTCTATTTCATAGGATGAAGTAGAGAAAGGTGAAGTTGCTAAGTCTCTCCAATATTACATGAATGACACAGGTGCCTCTGAACATGAAGCACGAAGATATATAAAGGATTTGATTATCGAGTCTGGAAGAAATTGAATGAAATTCAAATGTTGAATTATTCACCAATCATCTCTCAAGATTTCATTGAAATGGCGTTAAATGTCGCTAGAATTTCTCACACAGTCTACCAACATAGAGATGGACATACTTTGGAGGATCAAGAGACCAAGGATCGTGTCTCATCTTTATTCATCATCAAGCCTACATAGATTCATACACATTGACAACAAATATTATATATTGTTTAATGAAGGGTTGTTTGATAAATTTATGGAGAGTAACAATTATGGAATTTGATTTAAAGGTATTCGTGGAATAGTTAGGGAATGTATTTTATATACAGAGTGTTAATAATTTTTTTCTTTTTAAGCTTGATTTTTTAGATTTTATCAACGATAGGTGAATTTCAAGATGAGGTACATAGAAAAATTTTAGGAACTTAAAAAATATATAAAAGAAAATAATAAAAAAATTATTAATAAAGGTTTTACTTTGAACACAAGTTCTACTTTTAGTTTTCGGCCTCATACAATTAGAGATTGTGTTCCTTATAAACTCGTGATTTTCTTAAGCTGTCGGACAAAGTACATCATTTGTTCGATGCTCAAGTCACCTTTGACTTTATCTTCGAGGCACACAATTTTTTTGTTCGACACCTGAGGATTCTATTGACATGGCTAAATTAAGGACATGACTTTGATACCATATTACAAATCACGATCTACACAATGGTATGATATTGTCTACTTTGAGCATAAGTTCTTATGGCTTTACTATTAGTTTCCCAAAAGGCCTTAATAGAAATGACGTTCCTTACAAACCCATGATCTTCCTCTTAATTAGACAATAACGTGCTACTCCTCTCAATAATTCTCATCCGCCTCCTGTCTAAATATCCTTCATAATCTAAATACGCATAATTGTATAGTTTGTAAGTTGATTGAGTTTGTTTGTAAACAGTCTAGCATTCTTAGAAGTAGTTAGATACCTTGGTATCGACGTAGTTGCTTTCGAGTGCCTTTTTCTACGGTTAGTCATATGGCGACGAATAAAACTAATTAGCATAAGACACAAGACAGATCAACTCTGTGCAGGTGGATGAGTTGATTGACTGATTGAAGGCTGATTTAGCAGGTGCAAATGGTAACCTCGAGTCCCAAAATTTGAATTCTTATATATAATTGGCTCTTAAAATTGTGGGCTTTTAACTAGAAAATCTTCATAAATGTTATGGTGGATTTGAAATAGAGCCTTAAAATCAAACAAACGAAGCTGAAACTTTCTAGGTATGAGTATATTGTTTGTTTGTTTTTTTTTCTTTTTTCAAAATTCTCCATCCACAGTACACCTCATGAGCTCACTTTTATCCCTTAAATCACAAAATTTGAACCACGGACCGTTACACAGTGATGTTGAAACCCATGTACTTTGAAATTTGATTAAAATAATAATGAAGTTTTTTGCTTTTATAAATAAATAAGAAAATACCACTAAAATACAACACTAGGAGATCAAACTATTTAAAATACATGAAATACAGGATAAGGAACTTAAGACTTTTTATTGCCAACTGCCCACGTGTACCTTTGCCTCGGCCGCTGCGTTAAACTCCACCCAAAAAGAAAGTTATAGCAGCTTAAATGAGTATATAAAATATAGTTAGTAAGAAGTTTGCTAGTAGTTCATATTTCGTTATTAAGTCTTATTGATGTTGTTCATACGTTCTGTATCTTATTCTCTTTTGGGCCCCGTATAGGCTCTTCCTAGACTACACCCCTAGGTTTTCTCATTCTACTTTCTCTTGGTTCTTTGCCCTATCTGGACCTCTAGCCCTCGTAATATTCTTAAGTTCTTTACGTCTCCAAGTTAGTCGTTTCTGCTAGTCTCTCATCATCATGATCATATCTCAAAGTCCTCGAGGTGCGACATCAGTATAAATCTCATAGGGTTCATCCATGTCAAGCCTCGATCAAATCTAAGGTGCAACTGTGGACCTCTACCGCTCGGGGCAGGTTCACCAAAAGAAAGCTAACCGGCAAACTTTTAATATTGCCCACAGGCACAAATCATGTATCATAAAATCATATACCATAAAATCATATACCAGTTCTATTGTTATCCGAACCCTTGACAATTGAGTTAGGTTTACGATGAGGGGCTAATTGGTGAATCCCTACCGTTCCCGTATAACCGCATAACTCACATGCATGAACAATAATCGTGACCAATTTGTAAGGCATAACTGTAGACCCGTGCCTCTTGTGACACGCTCACTACAAGAAGCTAACTAGCAAACTTCACAGTAGTCGCCACAGGGTACAAAGATTATAAAATATCATAAGTCAGTTCTATGGTTATCTGAACCTCTGACAATCAAGTCAGGTTCACGACTAGAGGTTAGGTGGTGAACCCTTAATTGCCCCCGTATAACCACATACATCATAAACAGATGATAAAGAGACATAGCATAGCGATCTAAACTTGGATACCTAACCATAAATCCAGTTCATAAAATAGTGTGTACATACTTTAGTAAACATAGATAATGACATTCAGTCTGTTCATCTCAACCAATTCTATGCTCAAACTTGTATAATTAGTTTCCTATAACGTGCTTTATATCATACTAAAAACATGCTCTCAAGGACCATACTAAAAGCATGCTCTCAAGGACGACAAGAGTCTCTACGAGACAGTCCTGCATACATCTCAACTCATTTCTTTTCCTTTCTCCATAATCTTCTTTCTCCATTTCTTCTCTTTTGCTTCTTCTTTTTCCCTTTTCATACAGAATATCTCTTCTTTTTTCTTCTTCTTCCTCTTCTTCTTCCCTTCTCTGTCCTTGCTGGATTCCCCACTTCCTTTTTCGCACTCTCCCTCTGAGTTCTTCAGTAAGGTCGAAATCGTCTTCTCACAAACCTATAGCAACTTAAATCGGGTAAAATCATTGAGGGTAGAACTTTGCAGAAACAGGCTTATCCCTTTAAGATTAGGAAAAGAATCCCACAACTTTGCAGAAGGATCGAAAGGAGCAGAGGTCTAGAAGTCCCTAAACCGAGAGGAAGAATAACATAATTTCTTAAAAAATGGCTTGGTGAGTGAGGCCTCTCC